TAAAGTTAAAAGTTGGGACGGAACCCACAGCCATCTAGGTTCAGGACAACAAAGAAGTAAGGCCAAGAGAACAACTCATAACAAAGACGCGACCTCTCTTCACCAAGTTGTCAAGGGTGAGGATCCTAACCCGCAAGGCGTCCAATAAAAAATGATTCAACTACATTTGTTCTGTGCATTGACATATAGGGCTCTGAAACAATTAATTTTCTTAGCCAATTTTATTATAAAAATTTCTCACACAACATGCATTTGTCAGGATCATATTCATCAAGAAAAAATAAGGAATCATATTGGAAAATTTTCTCTATGCAATGAAATCTTACAATGACAAAAAGGATCTTGTAAACGGGCCTATTAGAAATCATAATACCTTAATTAACAATTAAAATTGGTGTAAACATTGTAACCATACTCATACCTTGCGTGGTACAGAACTGTTGCCAACCTCTTCATCCAGGAAAGGTATTTTTAACAAAGAAGCAATCTTCAAAAGGGGAACCACAAATATTAATACAAAATACAAAAATATTTTTTTAAAAAAAACAGAAGGAGAAATGCAAATTGAACTTACGACATCATAAGCCTTCTCGCGCTCGACGTGTTGAGACGTAGTTACCTGAGAATTAAGCATCTAAAACGAATAGTTCAAGTAAAAATCTCGCTCCAGAAAACTGAAAACAAGAATAATAAAAATTGTAAAAGTTTAAACTAAAAAGCTGTGGCTTATAATAGAAAAACCTGATCCAGAACATTATTTTTAGGAACTTGGTTGGTATAGCGAGCAATACAATGAGGGATGTTAAAGGGAGTGTCCTGTTGAGCGAGGCCCACTCTGATATTTGCAGAACCTGAGATTTTAAAATGACCTTAATGTAAAACTATCGAACAAATATTAAATCAATTACATAGCGATGCTATCAGAATTCAACATTGAGGGGAAAGAAAATGAAATACCAGGATTGATGACAACAAGATTGGAGCCTCGTTCGGAAACTAGTTGAGAAGGGACCACCGTTTTCAAGTAATCCTGCGATTATATGTTAAAACGAAGTTAAAGAACTGGATTAACTTCGTGTTCAGAGAAAGTATGTGTATACCATGGCAGTGACAGAAGTTGCTAGGCCTGCAGTTAGCAGAAGAGAAAATTTGTTTGAATGATGTTCGCATCGTAGGTTTTTATTTTCATCTCCCAACTTTCAATCTAGTCCCGCCGAAGGCTGTATTAAACGGCGTCGCAGCAACTTACCAATTGCAAATATTTATTTTCAATTATCAGTTTATCAGAATTTATTGCTCAAATTTTCAAGAAAAAAAAAAAAAAAAACACTTTGGGTTCGTGCCAGTTGTTTTTGGAACTTGTAGTGAAAGTGACAAAAAACACTGTAAAAATAATTTCTCAAATAAAAATATTTTTAATGCAAAATTAAACGTTAATTTAAAAAAAATTATTTTTATTTTTTAAAATAAAAATTACTGTATTTAATAAAATAGCTGTAGATATTAAAAAATATAAAGATGATTCACTTTTAATAAATAAATATTAACTAGACATTTATTTTACTGAAAAAATATAGTTTGTAAATATAAAATATTATATAAATATTAAAATTTTGTTCAAATTAAAAATTAAATTATTAAATATTCATAAGATTTTAATATTTAATAAAATTAAAATTACTAAATATTAATAAAATTTTAATCTTTTAAAAATTAAATATATTTTTAATAAATTTATTTGAGGATAATTTTAAAAAACTGTGGATATATTTTTTAAAAGTGAAAGCAATTTTTGAAAAGTACACGGAGTTTTTGTTTATATATTTTAGAAACAGATTTTAGGTTTAATTTTGCTAAAAATAATTTCAATTTCGCTAATTTGTTTACATGGTGTTTTGACACAGCAAAAAGTAATTTAAAAGCATATTTTATTTGGAAATAATATTTTGCATCTAAATTTGTGCAATTGGACTCATTGAACTCAATCTAACAATTTTTTTTTTTTATTTTATTAAAGTACATATATGAATCAAGTAAGATTCGACTTTAGCACTCAAAAACTCACATGCACTTTATTGACTGAGTATGTACATATATTTTTTTAATTATTTTTATTATTAATATATTATAATATTAATAATATATATATTTATATTGATAAATATAATTAATATATACTATTATATATTAATAAATATATTTTTAATTTTTTTTAAAAAAGGATAATCTATAAATTTGTACAGTACAAATTTTTTTTAAAAAGTTTGTACAAATTTAAGTTTAATCTTTACAAAGGCGAATCATGTGTGGGTCTGAATTCTATTGTCATCCCAATTTTGTGTTATTAAAATTTTGTTTTTAGAATAATTTTTGATAAAATTTATTTTTAACAAAAGTACAGTATTATTGTTTAATTAATTAAATTAAAATATTTAAAATAAAGATTAACAAAAAATTAATTTATTAATTATTTAAATAATATTAAGTTTTTCTAAGAAATTATTATAATAATTTAATATACTTATTGAATTTAGTATAAATATTAGTTTTAATTATTATTAATACTTAATTAGAAATAACAAGTATTTATATAATTTTATAATAACTATAGAAAGTTAACATATATTTCCAATTATTAAGAACATCATTTCTTTTCATAGATAAGTATTAATTTTCACATTATTAAGAACTAAGAACAAACTTGTTTTGCTTCCGGAAAAAGAAATCCTTTATATCCCATTCAGAGAAAATATCTGCTTCCAGAGACAGACGTGTGGACTCTCACATCCACACTCTGATCCGTTAATTAATTTTTTTTTTATTTTAATTTTGATTCACGACGCGTGACGGCCAGTTGTTTTCATCTCAGAAATGACGTAATCTAGACTATGGAATGATTACTTTTCTCTTCTCTTGCATTAAGAAAAAAATTTCATCTCTCCCTCGCTGCTGTATTATTATTTGATTAAATCTTGCAGAGACAGATGACAGAGACAGAGAAATCTCCTCTGCTCATTCCAAGTTCTACAACGGTGTTACTCGGGTGTAGTCAAGATAAGCCTGCAAGTCATGAATCCGATTATGATCGTAAAATAGAATTAAAAGCTTTTGATGATTCAAAGGCTGGTGTGAAGGGATTAGTAGATTCTGGACTCAACAAAATCCCATTTATTTTCATTGATAACAAAGCCAACCTCAACTGCCACCACCCCACTAAATCACTTGATTCTTCGCAGTTGAGTATTCCAATCATAGACCTCAAACCCGTCGATCAACCTACACAGAGTATTGTTAACCAAATTCAAAGTGCTTGTGAGAAATGGGGTTTCTTTCAGATAGTCAATCATGGAATTCCGGAGAGTGTTTTGGATGGTATGATTGATGGGATACGCAGGTTTCACGAAGCAGACAGTGAGATCAAGAAACAGTATTACTCCCGCGATATGAGTAGAAAGGTGAGGTATTTCAGCAACTTTGATTTGTATGCAAAACAAGTAGCTAATTGGAGGGACACTCTTAGATGTCGCATGGCACCTTCCCCTCCTGAACCCCAAGAGATACCTCAACTCTGCAGGTACGTATAGATTACCCCTCATTTATCTAATCCCGTGTCAATTGGGTTTTAATTTTCTGATTTCTGATCTGGGTTCATCGGGATTTTCTGACCATTTGTAGAGAAATAATCATGGATTACTCAAAGCAAATAATGGAGTTAGGCTTTGGCATGTTTGAGTTGCTATCAATGGCCCTTGGACTTAACCCCAGCCAGTTGAAAAATAAGGGTTTTGCAGAGGGTCTCCTCCTCCTAGCTCACTACTATCCGCCCTGCCCCGAACCAGAATTAACCATGGGCACTAGCAGCCACTCTGACAGTAGCATCTTCACCATACTTTTGCAGGATCAAGTAGGTGGTTTACAAGTTCTTCATGAGAATAAATGGGTTGATGTTCCTCCTATACCTGGGGCTCTTGTGGTAAATCTCGGTGATCTTATGCAGGTAACTCTGTTAATTACTTATATATATATCATATCTAATCAATCATCAATTCCGATTCTCATCATTTTCTTTGTGTCTTTGCAGCTTGTTTCAAATGACAGATTCAAAAGTGTTAATCACAGAGTAATAGCTAAAAACAAAGGCCCAAGAATCTCTGTGGCGTCTTTTTTCGTGATGGAAGAGGATGGCTCAAGAGTTTTTGGGCCAATCAAGGAATTGCTGTCGGAAGACAACCCGCCAGTCTACAGAGAAGTCCCTCTTCAAGATTATTTGACACACTACAACTCCAAAGGGTTGGACGGGACATCTTCGCTCTCCGGGTTCAAGATATAATTACGCCTTTCACTGTGTATGTGGTGAATAGTTGGATTCCTATTACCTGGCAATCAAGCAAGAGAGACGTCATATGTATCTATGATGTTCAAACTCAGGCTGTGCTTGGAATAATTTCAGAAAAGTTATGAAATGTAGTTTGTATCTACCACTCGTCGGTTAATCCCCCATAATCAGGGTGCTAAAGGTGTTGTTCAATAAGCATGCGATTTCATTCTGGAAGAATAATAAACTAGTCGATTGGTTTATGAATCTTAAACTATTATATTACAAGTTTCACTCTGTTTAGAATCCTGAAAGAAAAATGAATAAAATGGAACTCCACAGTGGCCTTTTGGCTAAAAGACTTCCAACTAAAAGGATAAAAAGGGTAGTTATGAGGATTCCTGTTGGAGTTTTAGGCATTGCCTTTTACGTCCCAAACAGGTTCCTGATTCTAGCCTTATTTGGAAAAGATTAGGACGTCTTATAGGTTCTTGGTGGAGTATTACAATGAGGAGCTAATTCTATAATACATATAATATATATATATATATATATTTCAGCGAACATAATATATATAAACTAAATGTACATAATATATATATATACCTATGTTTACGCTATTTATACTTATACTATCAGATATATGCATATATATATATGTTAAAGCTTGAATATACAACATATGTTTATATTAGTTATAGTGGTTTCCATTAAATCCATATATATATATGGACATGTATATAATATGTATATATGTAACAGATGTGATATATCGAAGCTTGAGAATGTAATATAAATATATATATACAGACATATATACATTACAGGGTATGCAAAACTGAACTGGATTGAAAATGTGAGTTCAAGCTAAGCCATTTAGGGGAATTCCCTTCAATTAAATCGATTATCATACTAAAATGGGTTAAGTCGGTTTGCTTAGGAAAAAAAAACCGGTTCACTTTTGATTCGTCAATCTAACCGATTAAAAATAAATATTTTTAACATCTATATTATAATTAATGTAATATATAATATATTCAAGCTAAATCCTTAATTCCCAAGCCTAATTTCTCCGGTCATCTACTCACCCTCTTAGCCTCTCCTTCCCGACGCACACACATACGCTCCTCCCTCACTCAGTCTTCTCCGGCGGCGACACCCACCCTCTCGAGTCTTGGCTCTTGCCTCACAGTCGAACGGGGCACCCTTCCTCACCCGTGTTCTTGGCTTTCGCCTTACTCAATCCTCCCTCACTCAGTCTTCACAGGCGCAAGTGGCACGACGGCATGGAGGACTCTAGCCACTTCCCTCTTGGCTTTAAAGCTCTCAACTCTCAGTCGAGCTAGAGTCCAGAAACTCTCTCGGCTCTCCACCTATCTACCACTTGAACCAGTCACCACTCACCAGAAGCTCGCATCTTGCGGGACCAGAGGCACTCCACCACCACTTGTAATTCAATGGATGGTCAAAATGGAAAATAAATAATTTTATCGACTGATATAAGCTGTGTGAATGAGAGAATGTTAAACTTGTGATCCATATCTTGTTATCTCCTTGGGACAACAAAAAATTTTCTATTGTTTTTAAATTATAAAGTTGCGTAAATAAGGGATAAGAGAAGAGGAATTTGAAATGCAGTTCAGTCATTCTTTCACGTGTTCAGAAGAAAAAAGTTTAATATAGGTTCTATTGAGAACAAGATATATCATTTTCTGAATGCTACAGAAGGTCAATCTTAATATGCTCGATCATTTTAGCACATGAAAATAAGGTGGTGGGTTTCCGTGGGAAAAATTTTGGGGAGGGCGAAAGAGAATGTATTTCTATTTGATTGAGTTTGGGCTCTAGTTTGATTATTCTTTAGTATAAAAAGTAGGATTGATTCATCAAATCTTATAACGACTGCTAAGTATGGATATGGGATGCATGTTACTAGATTTTGAATATTCACAGTTCATTTGAGAGTAAAATGATGAAAAAAGTTTTCATGTTAATGTGTATATTAAGGGAGGAAGATGCTAATAACAACTGAAAATTTCATCTTCTTTTTATGTATTTTTGGTTTTATTAGCTATAAGCAGAGGCAGTTATGTAGATATGTATGGACTTTCTTTTTTTGAACTGGTCGCTCATGGATAATTCACATGTTGTTAGAATTCTTTAGATAATACTTTGTAAGATAGGTCAGCTTTTTATTGTTGATGCTCTTACTTCTTACATCAATTTTTTATTTTTTATTTTAATTCTTTTGAACTTAGTGTATACATCTTGACTTGTCATTTTTGAACTGAGTGGTAAATGACCAAAATATCACTCCAATTACTGGTAGGAGTTGTTATCACTTCTATCGTTTCGTGGTTTAATGGAACCATATTTCTTACTTGGCCATCATTGACTCTGGAACATATATATTTATTTTATTATTGCTCTAAGTTGATAATTTGCTATATGATATATGAATACTCAATTTGATATTATGTTTTCTCAATACTTGAAAAAAAAAAACTAATTGGTTCTTCTTTTAGCTATTAATGTGAATAAGCTAACAACGCGATGAAATCGATTAATACTTTTATTATTTAATATTTTTGTATACTAAACTATAACACCACATGTAAATTTTAAGTGTTAACTTATGAATTTAAATATAATTTATAGATTTAAATTTAATTAACTAATTTATATATAAATTAAATCATGTGTAAAATGAATAAAATTAAAATTTACCCCTAAAGATGCAAAAAAATAAAATTAGGAACTAAATTGAATAAAATTAAATTTATTTGGTAATTTTTGTAAATTTAAAAATTGATTTAGAGGCCAAAATATAAAAAAAAAAACCTCAAAATCTTGACCATTTTATAATTTCTAAAAAATGAGTCACCTGGGCTGGTGACATGACATCCAACCAATCAAAGAGAGCCACGTGGCGTTGACCCCACACATGTGATCATCCATGCAGACACCCATGGTAAGCAAATCGGACGGTCCTGACTATTTTGTGCAAATACAATGGTGAGATCGCGGTATTTAGATCCAACAGTGTGCAAACATGCAGAGGAAATGATGACGATCCAATGATCCACGTGTGAGATGCCAATTGGACGATCTGCATATATTTTAAGGTGATCCAACGGTCGTGTGATTGAACGATTCAGATCTAATAGTGAATTGCGATCTAACGATTGAGGAAATAGAATGACAAAATTACAATTTTACCATTAATAAATACCCATCTAACGGATCGCATGTGGTCACATGTGCAAGGCTTGTGTGGTCTAGATTTTTTGAGTGGTGGGTTTAAAAACTCATCCAAGCCACTCAACCCCAGCCCAATCTAGAGAAGAAGAAAAAAAGAGAACAAAAGAAGAAAAAAAAAAGAAAGGAAGAAGAAGAGAAGAGAGGCCAAAGTACACCATTCTCGCCGGAAGAAAGGAGAAAAAAATGGGGAAAGGCGGCAGAGATTGCCGACGAAGGGACGACCGCCGAGAGAAGGGCTTTTCGCGGCCAACCAGTGCTGAAAATTGTAAAAATCCATCAGATTTTCCAATGACCCGCTACCCTAACACGTGATCAAATCGGCACTTTGGTGAGTAATTTGCTAGAGCTTTGTTTATCATTTTAATTAAATAAAATACTCTAGAGGTAACTTGCATGTAATAGAACATGCTTAAAGTTTAAATTAAATCAAAATCATGGCATGCATGCATGAAAAATCGCATACAACTTACGGGTTTATCACTGACCTGAGAAAAAAAAAATTTCTGCAGATTTTTTTCTCTAACTTTGGAAATATTTTTGGAGCTCAAATCATTTCGTAGGGACTTTTAAATTATAAGTATAATTAATAGGTAACCTGAGGCGTACATAATATAAATATTTATTAGATTTTGTTAACCGGATAAGAAGTTACAAGCTTGCAAATAGGGGTGGTGACTTGGGTTTAAAACCCATCTCAAAACCTATTCAGAGAGTTCAAATCGTCGAAAAAAGTCTCGAGAGTATCTATTTAGTTATTTTGATATTTTTATTATATTTTTAAACTCTTATTTGCTTGAATGAATTAATTGAATGCACGCATTATATTTATATAGTGTGTATATATATATATAAATTGCATGAAAGAAAATGTTTGAAGAAAAAAAAAATAAAGAATGGGTTAAAAAAATAAGTGATAAAATAAAGTAGATGATGAAATAAATTAAAGACAGAGAAAAAAAAATTAGATTCAAGTTGCTAGATAAAAAAAATAGGTAATTAAGTTATAGATAAAAAAAAAATTAGAATTATGATAAGATTTTAAAATTGAAAAAAATAAAAATACTAATTAAGAATTGAAATATATATATATATATCTAAAATAAATAAATAAATAAAGATTAATAATAAATTAAATAATAATAATATAAGTAATATTAATAAAATAAAATAGTAATAATAATAATAATAATAATAATAATAATAATAAATATTAGCAAATATATATAATAATAAATCATAAAGAATTACATAAAGGAAACGAATATTAATAAATATATATATATATAAACATAAATAATTAAATAAAAATTTCTAAAGTAGAATTTAGAGGGAATTAGTTAGAAAAAAAAGTGGAGAGTGATAAATGAAACTTCAATTGAAAATAAATAAATAAATAAAATACCAATTATAATTAGAATAGGAAGAAAAGAAAATAATACAAATATTTAGAAGAAGCCAAAATTTAGAGATAAGTCGTTTAAGATTAGTATGACTTAAATTCAGCAGTATGGTGAACCTTATCCTTGGGTGGATGGAAACCCTTAGAGATGTCATTGGGATGTGTGTTATATTATGAGTAACCTAACAACGGACTATTGTGATCAATGTATATTTTGGCTGTGTGAGTGATAGTGGGATCCTGATCTCATAATGGTACTAATTGAATAACATCCGTCCAATATCAAATCAAAAATTTAAAATTTTAATAACTTCAATTTGGTGATTATGTTGGGGCAAATCGGGAATCAGGGATACCCGCTGAGGAAGTACGAGTATCTCAATTTGACCGAAAACTTGTGAAAAATTCTATAGTGGTTTGAGGAAACAGTGAAATAAAATAGATTTAGAGAAATTTTGAAAAAAATGAGTTTAAGAGAATTTCGAGGGATAATACGTAAATTTATAAGAAAAATTTGAGAGATAGAATAGAGTTAGTGGAACAATGAGAGATGAGATAGAAAATGAAATACCTTTGCATTCCATAGTTTTCAAATAAAAACAAAAAG